GGGTGGGTAGAGTGCATCAGACACATGGATGGATTGCAAGGAGGGTAGATGGACGAGGTTATCAGAAAACATAAACATCTTGAAAGCGTGTCTTACCTGCAGATGACCAGAACAATAACCAAAGCGCCAATCAGCAGAACAATGACTATGACCAGTCCAATGATAACACCTACGGGAAAGCCATCACTGACACCTGAGAGATGAAAGAGAAACTCAACTCGATGACAGAGGCCAAATCTAAGTTGGGGTGTTGTACACGTCAGACTGACCACAATAAATTATATAATACGTGTGTCTGTGTACCAAGGGAAAGAGCCTACATATTTCAGAAATAAGAGATTTTTATAGAAATTTCCTTTGCACGAGTCTTTATAAACTGAAGTTTGCTTTTCGTTTTAAAGATATATTTGCAGTTTTTTGTTTGTTTATGTAATATGTCTTTTGTTAGAACTAAGGTACACGGGCGCGGTTTCGAGAAGCGCGGCAGCCTAAGCTCCTTTCCTTCGATATGGTGGTGTCCACTCTGTCCAGCAATTTTCCAACAGACTTTTTTAGTGTGTCAGTGTAAGGTAGTTTTCACTGTTAAAGAAACTGTTAACAATGAAAGTATTGGCATATTATTTGACAGAGGTGATGTTTTAATGGACAATACCATCAATTCGAAAAGCTGGGGGGTCTACGCTCTACGAAAATTACCGAAAGAACACGAAGAACGCTCGGTAAGGGATTCGAACCAGGGTTATCACCATTGAGTGCCAGCTCTGGCACAGACATTGGTGGTCATAGTTCGCTGCATAATAATGTTTCTGCTCGGATGCTCTTTAAAAACCTACAACAAAATTGTCTTTGCCTTTCCCCACCACCCATCTGTTCATGTTCTCTAGGTAAGTTGTTCTTGGTCCAATCCTGCCGCTTTTGTCTTCTACTTTTTCAGCCAAAGCAAGATGTTTACGGCATTTATGTCTAGTCAAGTTCAAATGTCTCACAAACTGCATTTGTCTCTCCCTAATTGTTTTTATCAGTAAGCGCCCACTTGGGCTTCTTTCAGTACTACCTCATTTGATTTCTTTTCCTTCCATGGAATTCTTAACAGTCTCCCATGGAACCACATTTCTGTTGCTTTAAGTTATTTTCACTATCTTTGGTGTCCAAAATTCACCGCCGTGTGGAATTGTTGACCACACATAGCCTTCTAAAACTCACAATTTGGTTGTATTCTTGATGTATTCTTTTCAGAACTGGACTGGACTGATTTTGTTGAAACTGTCTTTAGTTACAGCAGTTCTTCGTTTTATTACTCTGGTGCATTCGGCATCGGATGTAATGATATCCTAGATTCTTGAACTGTTGAACTTTAATGGTCTTTTCACTTTTGCTTATGAGATTACAAATGGGATTTACTGCTATATTTGTTCCACGTTTTCTGTTTATTAAAAAAAAAAACCCCTAACGTTCACTTTGCGTCAGAAATGTATCTAAATTATAAATCAGCGTCATTTTCTAAAATCTGCAATTTTAACTCAGCAATAAACATAACCAATGTTGCTAATATCTTCTCCATTCACTTTGAAACTCGGACTTTCTTCTATATTTCCGAGAATTTGTTCTTCACTATATACAATGACAACACAGTCCTATTATCAGAAGATGAAGAACCTATAGTGAATCTATTCAATGTCGTCAAGAAAACTGAAACAAGGGTGAAAAGCAGAAAAACTCGAACCCGAACCTGCAATATCAAAATCAATGATACCACCCTCAAGCCAGAACAACATTTTAAATATTTGGGGACCATTATATTATCAGATCGGAGATGTTACGCCGAAATTAAAAGCCGCATATGCCAAGCAAAAGCAACCTTCCACAAGATGAAACAGATACTCACAAACATCAATCTGTCACTGGAAACAAGAAAAAGAGCACTGAAAAGTTATATCGAGCCAATCCTATTATACGGGTGTGAAGCATGGACAATCAATAGACAGCTGAAAAGAACAATTGAGGCGACAGAGTTGTGGTTCATGAGACGCATGCTGCGTATCCCATGGACAGCTAGAAAAACAAATGAAGAAGTCTTGGATGAAGCAAATTGCAGACGACAGCTTATAACGAATATACGAAAGCGACAGGCAAATTTCATTGGACACACAATGCGGAAAGAAGCAATGGAGAATATTGTAACAACAGACAAGGCACCGGATGATGATGATAACATGTTAAAGAAGTCTGGGGACATAACGCTGCCTTGTCTAACTTTTCTCTCAATCTCTTTGTATTCGCAGTACTCTCTCTCTCTCTCTCTCTCTCTCTCTCTCTCTCTCAATTCTACAGCCGTAATTTGGTCCAAACACGAAATCCTAATAAAACTTAGATCAATTCCATGACAAGTTCTCTCAGTATTTTAATCGTTCATTGTCTCTAACCGTTTCAAAATCCTTTGAGTAATTAATGAAGCATATTATAAATACAGATCTTTCCGTGTTTCAATCAATTTTTCCATTAACATTGCTGGGGTTGACATAGCACTCAAGGTACCTTTATCGGTAAGAAAGAAAAACTGTGTTTTAAATATCTCTGGTCAAAAACCTTTTCTTTTTCTTTCCATAAGTAGACCTACTAGCAGTTATGTTTATTTGTAAAATGACTCAAAAGGGGTATTATTCTATGCATCACTCACTTTGTAGCACCTGCTGATTTAAGTAATGTAGAGGCTTAAATAACTGCTTCATCATATCTTCTGAAATCTTACCTCTGTCAAGGATAGAATTCGCGAGCTTTATTATCGTCAATATCCATTTTTTTTCTCATGTGACAATCCTCTTAACTGGGATATTATATAGCAGAAGTTTTCAAACAGCATAGCCTATAGCTTAATTTAAAACTTCACTTTAATGAATCAGCGTAAGGGCTATTTCACAGTAACTGACGGGGCACTTTGATCCGTACTATTGAAACACCCGAGTATTACGACTCTGGGAACACCGGCGTGTGTTAATGCAGAAAGAGTGTGTTAGATCTAGGATATTATGTACATGCATTTTCTTTCATGTAACTGTATTTACACCCCTGTAGACACAGTTTCGATCCTTCAAGAGGGAGGATTCGATACTCTCTGTCACTGCCAACCCAGGCTGAGAGGGATACAAGCAGCAAGAATGAGTCACTCGATGAAAATGTCTCACCACTCGGGATACGAACCCAAGTATCCTGTTTGCGATAGCGAAACACCTAACCGCTACACCACAGATGACAGTTATATACGTGTATTATTGAGAACCCCTTGTGTTAAGCTTAGACATAGGGGAACACACGTCTGTATTATTGAAGTGCCCCTTTATTAGATATAGGAGAAAATCATAACTCCATTATTGAAGTACTTGTGGGTTAGATTTAGAAGAACACACACCTATGTTATCGATGTACCCATGTATGAGATCTAAGGGAACACAGGCGTGTATTGTACAAGTACACACCTGTGTTACTGAAGTACGTGTGGGTAAGACATCACATTCCTGTACTGTCAAAGTACATTTGTGTGAGATACAAGAGTACAGAGTGTCTCTACGGCGTAAGGCTGTGATACTTCTGTAAACCATGCCAAAACTCAACAGTTGGGAGGTTAAGTCCCAGTGGGGTCTGATGTATTTCGTCTTTCCAGGTCCATTTTACCTCTTCGTCTGACATCCTCACTTGAAAGCTGGGATCTTTCCATCACTGAAGTAAGGTAAGAGTTCATTTTGGGTAGTAGGGCGCTGGTGTCATAAAAAACCGCAAATAATCAACAGCCGTTAAAGTGACTCACGCTCGGAGCACGTCACTCCCCCGTAACCTTCCACGCAGCCGTCGAGACATGTACCAGTCTCATGATGACATCGCCTGGGTGTGTCACTGGCGCTGCTGCTGGTGGTTCTGAGTACACACGTGGGGCTACAGGTGTTGGAGCAGCGGAGACCGTAAGTGTTGTTTGGACATTCTGAAATAACAGGGCGAATCAAGGGGCAAAAGAAATGGTGAAATGTTTTGTTTTTAAAAATTTAGTAAATGTTTTACGGCACTCGCAACTGCAATAAGGTCATATGAGCGCCAAGGGGTGGATGTCAACAGAGAAGTCTTTACAGGGAATCAGACTTACTCTGCTCACCTCTCTAGCTTCAACAGCACAAAGTCTGCTTCGACTTTCAAGGCGCCCCGGAAAAAGCGTGTCACAAGAGTGTGACAAACATACAAAAGAAGTAGAGGAAAAATGACAATAGTAAGGATTAGGAAAGAAAAAGCAGCAGTTCTCTGTTGTAGATCAGGCATAGTTATGAGCGTGACATTGATGAATCAGCCCATTTACAATTCTACTGTGCATGAACGAGAAATGTCCCCCCTTTGGGAATGGCCTAAAGACACTTCAGTCAGTGGCACCGCCCCGGGGGTGCGCTGTGGGGATTAACAAATCGTAAAATAACAAATTAGATCAAAGATAGAATTTATCAAGAAAATGATGATAAATAGTTTCCTGAACTCTTAGTTGCAGAAATGCATGTGTTATTGTTTTCATGAACAAATTACTGGATAAATGGTTTTAAAAAAATCCTTCGAGGAATGAGTATAGTATTCATATTGTTCCAAGCCTCTAAAACAAAGTAAAAATAACAATGTTAATTAAAACTCCGCTGCACGCAAAGTAACTGTAAAATAAAAATCAAACACGACATCTATCCTCTTCTCTCCCCATACCTACCTTTCTCTCACATATTCTCTTTCTCCCCCCCCCCTCTCTCTCTCTCTCTCTCTCTCTCTCTCTCTCTCTCTCTCTCTCTCTCTCCCTCTCTCCCCTCTCTCTCTCTCGCTCTCTCTCTCTCACTTTCTTTTCTGCCTCTTTATCTTTCCCCTACCCTCTTTCTCTTCCTCCAGGTAATCTCTCTCCCCACTTCTCTCTCTCTCTCTCTCTCTCTCTCTCTCTCTCTCTCTCTCTCTCTCTCTCTCTCTCTCTTTTACTCTCTCTCTATTTCTTTCACTCTCCTTCACCCTGTCTCTGTTTCTCTCTCTCTTTTTACTGGATTCTCTTTCCTTCTCTCCCACTTCTCTAAATGTCTTTCTGTATCTCCCCTCCCCTTTTCTCCCTTTCTCAAGCACAGAAAGACACATATACACACTCACATATTGTACGCACAAATTGTAATGCGATGCATTACTGTCATTGCTACTCATACGTATTTACATATCTGTATGTTTATGCTTTCTTTATTCCATCACTCCATCCATTCATCAATTCATCAGCCGATATTTCCTTCCTCTCCTTTTCCCTCTGTCCTCCAATAAGTATCTTTTTGTCCATCTGTTTTTCCTAATCACTCACGTTGATCACAGAACTGTCCCGGATAGCCAGAGGTACAACCACCCAGACAACTTCCATCTCGTTTGTCACAAGGGACATCCCGCGAGCACTTTTCACTACACTGGTGCACGCAGCCACTGCCGTAGGTATAGTCTTCACAGTCTGGGGAGGGGAGGATAAACAGGTTTTAGCAGTCCAGGAGAAGAAAAGTAACATTGTGGAAAGAAGCTCATAGTAGAAACCGTTCGGAGACAAAAGAGACCAATATAGAAAAACATATCTGAGCTGTCGGTGAAGACAACCCCCAACCCCCCAAAAATTAAAAGAACAATCAAAAACACCCCAACACAAACCCAACAGAAAACAAAGCAAAAAACAACAACCCAACAACAACAACAACAAACAAACAAAATAGAACCTCACTGTTTCAGTGTAGGTGATACAAAACTAGGGCTCTTTAAAAAAAAAATTGCCATATTATGCGAAGCGTTTGCTCTTTCAACTGTCTTCGGTGTAATCGAAGGTAAAAGATAGGGATTTGAATGGATAGAATTATCATTCCTGGGCAATCTAAAGGAATATTAAGCGAAGGCTGCTTTCTCTCAAACTATTTTTACAGATAACGTAAACAGTCTCATTTATTTAGCTTTTAGTTCTAAAAATACAAAAGCTTCCATATTTTTCGACTAATAGGGTTCAAATTTCGTATGATGTCTTTACAACCATATCATTGCAACATTTGGCAACATCATGAAACAAGCATAGTCTTGTTAGTTAGTTTTTTTGTGGTTTTTTTTTTTGGGGGGGGGGGGGATACATGTTTTTATAACCTAGGCCATAAAACTTTGGCGTTTTTCCGATACAGCACACAAAAGAGGCTGCTAAAACAAAACTAATCGAATATACAGTTTTCGTGCCGACGAAAGTTTTGTACTGTAGTTGTTCATTATCTTACCAAGAAACAAAGACATTGCTTGAAAAAAGAAAAAGCCCTATGGTTTTTTCAATGTCCTAAATTTTGAGGTAACCGTTACACAATATACGTCTCAGTTGTCGATGAATGATGTTTTCATCACGTTCAAATATCTAACCATTTCCTATGAGCATGCTGAACACAGTCTAGTGATAACACAAGACATTTCTATTTGAATAAAAACACGTGATATGTATTTTTTTTTATTTTAAGAAAAAGCCTACCGGCGTCTGTGATGTGGCCGTTAGACACTTCGCTGTCGCACACAGGAGACTTGAGAAAATGGTTCATAGTATAGGTTTACCCCCCCCCCCCCCCCCCCATCAACACTTTTAGGTTATTTGGTTATTTAAGAGGCGGGGCCTCCGAGCTCAACGTCCATCTCCGAAAGGACCGAGCCAATGGGGAAATTCGTGTAAAGTAAATTGCCTTCCCAAGGATACAACGGCAGACTGAGCTGAGGCTCGAACTCCCGAACCTGCAGTTTCACGTTTACGGACCTTGTAGCCTAACCACTATGCCACCTACGTCACTAGAGAGTCGACTTCGATTAACTAGTGGGGGGAACATTTGTATCAAGAATCTCGGTCTTTCTGTTGGCCGTGACAGACAGGGTCGAAAGCCCATCTCCTAAATGATCTCAATTGTGTCGATGACGACGTAAAACACCTACATTTAAAAGAAAGAGAAACAGTTTTTGCAGTTTGAGAGGAAAAAATAACTCATTACAGAAAACGTCTTGGTTGTCCATAGGAACAAAAATAAATCAAATTGTAGAGAAGGATTTCAATGGCGCACAAAGCAGGTCTCGCTGAAAGCTCTCACAGAGCGACTATAGTCCAAGGCAAAAGTCCTCGTCCGAAGTGATATTTCATTCATAAATACAAGCAAGAGAGTGGGGTTGGAAAAATAGATAGTAAGTAAGTAAGTAAGTAAGTTTATTCAGTGTTTAAGGTCATTGGCACACATCACATCGCACAAAACAAATAAAAGCAAGAGAGTGGGGTTGGAAAAATTGATTAAAAAGACATAGAGAGAAAAGAGACAAAAAGCACAGAGACTTGCAAGACATCCAGTTTCGGGGAGAGAAGGAGAGAGATAGAGCGGTAGAGAGAACTGATAATGAGAAACGCAGAAGAGACAGAGAAAAGGAAGAGAAAAAAGAGGTAGAGATGGAACGACCTTGCAGTTTGATGCTTAATTAAACTTTACCTTTGAGGGCCCAAACTTACTGAATGGAATACTACATACCGTCAAAAAGTCTGAGACACTTCATTACATTTTTTTACACAACAGAATTTGATCTCAAGTCTTTTATACAGAAGACGATGAACCTGATAGAAAAAAAAATAATCTGGGTATATAAACTTTAAATAACAAATTTGATCCACCCCAAGACGACTGTACACATTTTTCTACATCCAAAAGGACGTACAAAGCTCTCATCATACAATAGCACACACCGTGTTCACAGAGATCTCCTTCCTTCCCGGGTTGGCAGACGTCACAAGTCCCACTGACGTGGTGGCACAATTGGTCTACACATCGACCATCACAGGCTTCCTTACAGTCTTTACTCCACGTCTTTGTTGGACATTCTGAAATGGACAAAAATAAATTTCTTTTTACTATATATGGCACTCAAAATCAATGAATGAATGAAAGGGCTTTTGAATATCAAATGCTCAAGATCTGGAGTGCTTTGCCAAGTAGTTTAAGAGAGATCAAATCCTTTGATTAATTAATTCAAATGTCAGCTAAAGTCATTTCTGTTTTTAAAGTAATTAGATCAATATTTAGAGAGAGATTTTCGTTTGGTCAGAACACAATGTACTGATTAAATGTTATTGTTGTATTGTTAAGCGCTCAATAATAATATAAAATAATAATAATAATATTAATAATAATAATAATTATTATTATTACTATTATTATTA